GTCCTTTAACAGTTGACTATACAACATTGACAGTACACATTATTATGTTTGGTAGTTAAATGTTTCATAGTACATTTGGTTCTGCAAAGGAAACATTTTAATGTCATGAGAAAAATCTCAGATTTAATTATACTTTATTAACACCATTGTTTTTCAGGACTTGGTAGTCCATGGAGGTAGTTAAGAGGTTAATGATTGCACCATCTGACCTCACTATTTACCCATACATCTTCATAATGATTAGAAGTTGTAATGATATGACAAAACGCTGCAATACTATGAACTCTGTGACATGTTACATGGTACATTGATGAGGTTTTTAAAGGCACAGTAATTAATAGGTGCTTGCCTTGGACTAACATTGAAAGCCCAGCTTTCACATCAGCTGTAATATGTTGATTGTGCCACTTTTATGTTTATAAAGAACAGTAATAACTCAGTCACCTTTGCATGAGTACGCAGGGAGTGAATTAGATCGTGACTTTAGATTGCTTTTTTATTTTTTTTTTGACCATGCCCTTTTCATGGACAAATGTATTTATAAGAACTCTGTAGCAATATGGTCTTGAACTGCCTAAACTGTAAATTTCCGAGTCAAAATCCTGCCCTAGTTCCCTGCTACTATGCTTCACCTGCATGGAATATGTCTTGCATCTTTCCTATTTTATTGATTAAGAAATTATGTATATAAAATTACTGTACATTTTGTAAGCATGTAAATTTTCACATCTTGCATCCAGGTCAAAATGATGACGGTTTATTTTCATTTTAGAGGCTGTTACATTTTTCTCAATGTAAAGTAAGAAGAGCCGGGGAGGACAAGTGTGTTGACAGTGACATCTCTGACTGTGCATTCTTATAAACTGGCAACTTGACGGCATTTGAGAGCTGTGGAGAGGTTCCACTCTGTGGGGTGAAGTAGGGTTCTCAGCTGCATGCCATGTACCACAAGGAGGGCTGAGTGGTTCTGCTTTGTACCCTCCACATTTACATGGCCTGACCCAGTTCAGCAGCGGCTAGGGGGAGGGGGCGGTCTGGGGGAAGCTAAAAATACTACCCCTCGCATTAGGCAGCTCCATCGTAAAGGGATCCCTAGAATTGTTATCTCTGACTTGCATCAAGTTATTGGCACGTAGAGGTGCACAAACTGCCTGAGGGTTTCCTTAGTGTGAATACAAAGACATGAGTATATGAGATGCCCACCACTGTTCTGCTGCTTTCACTTTTCACTGCCTTTGTGGGGTAGGATCTAGTGTACATCTAATGTGTGATAGCAGCCTTAAATAGCTTGAGCAGAGGAGAGACTTGCAACTTGCAAGTCACTGGTTCTTGGGTGAAATTCATGGTGAGCTATGGTTTTGTTGCTGCTGTCTGAAAAGCATTAACCTTAGTCTCTGTCATTCAACCATACCATGCAAGCTGTTTGGCGTGGCGAACCAAGCACAATGATTTTCCACTGTTGTGACATGTGACCTGCTCCGCAACCCGAGACTGTAGCAGTGCAGCAAATTTTGGCACTTTCTTGATCCTGGCATTGTTGCTGCTCGTGGGGTTAGAGGTGTGAATGTGGGAGAGGGTTCAAAGAGTAAAACGTGAATACAGGGAAATGGAGAAGGCAGGGAATTACATTCATTACTATAGGCTACTACACATGTGGTATCCAGTGCAAGTGAAAAATGTTCGTTAAGAGAAGTCCTCCAGAGACCATTCGCACGTTTACAAAGCTGTGTGTTTTTGAAAGGTATATACATTTAACCCATGACTGCTGAAATTCACTTGTCTCAGTTAGTTGGAATTTGTGGACAACCTGTGGTATCATTAGGAAGAAGGCACCTCAACACTTTGACTGTCCTGTTGTGAATTGGTAACAGGTTGAGTTCTTTATTGCCACATTTTTAATTGTATTTGACTGTGGCAACCTTTCAGTGAGGAAATAGTGTTTTTAAATATGAAACTGAACAGCGTAATTTTAAACACTAATATTGGCTAAAAGAAATTAACAAGCATGTCACCTGGTTTAAAAAAATTATTTTAGTTATTACATTAACATGAATCAAACTTTACTGTTGTCACATCAGATACTAACATCCATGATTAGTGATTGAATCAAAATATTGCTCCAGTGAAGTATATTGGAAAGTGTAATGGCTCTCTGTTCAGAGATAACACACTTGTTCGTCACTGGGTGTTACTAAGATAATGTGTGGCGGAAGAGGATGTCTAATATCTGACACGCCACAAGAGTTATAACTTGCCTAGCAGTCTACGTGGCTTACTTGGGTTTCAGAGAGCTTTTCTTGAAAGGTTAGCTTGTCATTCTGTAGTATTTCTGCCCAAGAATATACCTTTTTATGTTTTTGGTAACAATTTATTTTAGTTTGGACGGAACCATATAATTTGGGACTAATTCCAGATGCAATTAGAGAGTGATCCGTCAGTACACTTCCAGTTATTTCTAAATATTAAACTAGCACACACTTGAAGCTTTTATTCAGAGGACAAAGTGAACTACACATACAGAATGTTGAATCTGTCCACAAACAATCATCCAACTCAGCATAAATGAAGAATACAAAGTAAATGTTAACTGGGGTTTATATTGGGCAAGTTCTTTTAATGGAAATTTCATCTGAAAGCTGATAGTAAACTCACCACAACTTGGTAGACATACTAAGAAAACCTTGAAACTTTCTGTTTTTCTATAATTAATACCAAACTACAAGGTCGTTTGCAGGAAACGTTCAAGAAATTATTAGGAAATAGTAGACCTGTAAAAAAACATTGCCATGGTTTTAGTGGAAATCAGAACCATGATAGCGGTAAATATTGGTAATTGACGTCATACGATATTTATGATAGCATTGCACATGTTTTCAGAAATGGTTGCACGTCTTCAGAGACAGGTGCAAAGAGATGTATTTACTCTATAAAATAAAGATTTCTGCCCTCTCTCCCACCTCAGTAATACACCCAGCCCTGCAATTATGCTGTGTAATAAATAATAAATTCTGTCCTGTTTTCCATGGCAGATGGCTCCAAATAGAATCTCAACATGTTAGAGAATAGTTTCCAAGGCACTCAATGAAATAAGCTGAAAGCATTCATTTGTGCAGTGAGCAGTAATAAAGGCTACATTTTCTCTCCTTTTCCATCTGTGTCCCAGTTTAAAGTTCTGACATATTTTTGAGCTTTGGATGTTAGTTTAGAGTTGCGGCATGTTTGGAGTCATGTTTGGTGTAAAGATAGATGCATAGTGTTCTCAAGGATATTTTGAACTTTTTGTTAATACAGAAATGCAGGAAGTGAGTAAAGCCCCCCTAACTGAGAGATAATTGCGGCATTTGTCCAGACAAAGGTGAAATGTCTGTCTGCCTGCTGGTGCCTTTCTTTATAGATCTAATGTCTGAGTCCAGGTTCCCTGAAATGCACATTATAGTCTCACATAGCTTCTCATCTGAAATCATAGTATAGTGTTTCACAAAATAGTTTAAATATAGATTAAGCCCACTTTGAGGAACCTTTCCGTTTTTGTCCATTGTGTTTCTGAGAAATTGACAAGAAATTGAACAGTCCTACTTAAAAGACCTGCTGCACCCCTTGTAATTGTATTGTGATGTTGTATGTTTGTAGTCCCATGTTTCTGTTTTTATTTGAGCTGACAAGACATTCCTATCAATCTGGTCAACACGAAGGAATCAGCCTCATCGTCTTAGGCTGAAAGGACAGCAGCCTTTTATTAGAATGGACTCTCCCTTGTCGAGCACCATAGAGCTCCCTGATGCCACAGATAGTCCTAATTAGATTGAACAGAAGGCGTTTCCTGATGTCACTCGGTCTCTGCTGACCATGTTACTCACAGTAACACTGCTGGGAAGCTTGTAGTTCTGATTAGATTAAGATGTATGTACTTTTTTTGTATGACAAACCTATTGTATGTTTTTCTTTTCATGGCAGGCCGTAGTCTTATGAGTGTGAATTTCTAGATGAAAAGATTTTGGCTGGAATGTTTTACTTAGCACCAGACAAACTGGTACCAGCCATATAATAGGGTTATAAAATTTAAAGCGAGTGAATCAAATGCAGCCAACCAGAGTTAAATCATATCCTACAATGGCAAGGTGCTGCTAGAAAATCCTTTACTGTGGAACAGCTGCAAGAAGTGTTGAAGTGTTTTTACAAAGAGTAGATAAACATTACAGAAGGGAAAAGACTACCTTGACATTCTTTATGCTGACAAATGTTTGGGCACTCAGCACAGAGTGATTGTTGAATTCTAATGCTCCACTCTGTAAAGCAGAAGGCCACACTACCAGACAAGAACTTTGTTCAGATGACAAAATGCATTTTTTTTATTATAACTCAAGTGCGGATGGTCAAAATTTCTTAGCAATGGTTCAAGGCAGTTTTGCTAATTATTTGATTATTTCTCTCAGCAGCCAGGTGGATTTGTCCAAGTGCTTCCATGTCCAGTGAAATGCCAGTGTAGCAGTTAAGAGATGGAAACAATAAACATATTTAACATGTTACACTGAGAACAAGTCACCACAAACATCTAAGTCCACATCAGAATATGCGACAGACTTCATAGGTAACTTTCACAATAATAGGTTCACAGAAGAACAGCAGAAAACGGCGTTTGTAAGGTTTAAACAATAGAGAATTGGTTTCTCAACATTTAGGTTTGTTTTAAATATAGCTATGTTCTCACAAAGTGAATGCATGCTTGTCAAAAGCATCTGCTCTTCTGCTCAACTTTCCAGACGTAATGCTAGTTAGAAGTTAGCAACCATCAAGCCACAGTGTGAACACCAACCTAGTGTGTCACAGCTTGTTGGTGGAAGAAAAAAAAAAAACTAAAAGAAGTTTCTCAGACAGTTCTCTGAAATATCAGCAGTGCTGTCAGTGTGATATCAGTAAATGTGTGGGTAACACCCTGCTGCACATAGAATAGCATTGCATAATGTCACTAAACTTTATTTTTTAATGCTTTTCTTTTTCAGATCTACATGCATGGTGACCGCTGGCTCTGTGTGTGATCCTCAGTCACCATGAAAGACTAGGAACTCAGCTCTCCAAGGGAAATGGCTTGTTTTATAATCCCTGCCCTGCTACCTGATGTATGACTCCAGCTGCCTGTGAGGGGCCTGTCAGCTGTTTATGGGAACTACCACTGTGTTTGCACTCTTGAGGATTTAAGCTTTTCCAGGACAACACTTCTTCATTTTTTTTTTTTCCCCCCTCACTGTCTGGCTGAAGCATCAACGCTTTGCACTAGAGCAGGGAGGCAACGAGACAATGGCAAACAACTCGTACAGTGGGGTGAAGAACTCCTTGGTTGAGGCCAACCACGATGGAGAATTTGGCTGCACGCTCAAAGAACTGCGCTCCCTTATGGAACTGAGAGGCGCTGAAGCAATAGGAAAAATTGGGGAATCTTATGGGGATATTCAAGGACTCTGCAATCGATTAAAAACATCACCTATAGATGGTAGAGTAATGGTTCCATTACATTCAATATGACTGTTGTTTAACTGGATCAAATACAGGATGTTTTCACAGCAGGGCTAATAGTGAGTGCTGTTGGAATGCTAATGTGGTGCACACATAGCTTAGGAGGCGTGTCACTGGCTGTGTCATCCACTTTGTGGATAACTTGACATCGCTTCCTTGGTAAACCCGTATGCCAGACAGGTGGTCACGTAGACTGGCTCTGACCTGGGCCAGTCCTGCTCTATTTCAAGGCCTGTGGATATGTCCCTCCCTCTCTCCCTTTTCACCTCTGTGTCTATGTGTGTGCATATCTGTGTGTAGGCTTCAGATAGACCAGCTGTCTGCCTGGGCACAGCACCAGCCTGCAGGCAGGTCAATGTCCCACATGTGGCAGACAAAAAAGGAGGCTGTAAGAGTAGGTGGTAATAACTTGAACATGTTGGGGAAGGAGTTCATCTTCTGAATAACTTTGGTGTGTTACTTTTTTTCTTTGATTGACTATAGAGATAAGATCTCGCCAATAGTTCTGGAAAACTTCCCAGCTAAAGCTACAGTAGAACTCCAGCACCTCTCTTTTTTTTTTTTTTTTGTTTTACTACTTTGTGTCTCTGTTTGATTCTCTATAGACAGTCAGCCTAATCGCCACTATGACCTTGACTGAACTCTTATGGGAGGGGATTTTCAGTTTGATCCCAGATTAAAACAGCACCACATATTCACTGTAGCAGCAATAGCCCTCTGTATGCAGTGTCTCAAAGCAAAGGAAGAAATTTTCTCACCAAATGGAATGTGAAAAACATACGTGACAGGAAAAAAAGCATCCCTCATTCAAGAATCACTACCTTACTGTTTTTATGATTGACTTTTCATTTATAGATGGTTTGGTAAATACATCAAGCGCTCTCTTTTGGTGGTTACGCTGTCTGTTATCCAGGCTATTCTGAAAAGTGGAGAGATTGCTGAATAGGAGTTTGTTTGTTAGGGGAGAGCACGAGTTATCTACACATGCATGTGCCTGTGTCAAATTGATGGACATAGAATTTCATCACATTTGTAGCGTGAGTGACATCGGTTGTTTCCTAAGTGTACTTTGTTCTCCTCTGCTCGTTCTACCCAGTCCTAGAATGTGGCTGGCTGACACCTGTTAGCTTTTCTACACTTTTCTTACAAAGCACAAACACTATTTGGTTTCCTTGTAAGTGCATGAGTAGGTAAGGTCATAGAACACCATAAGCATGGTTGGAATAGCGATTACTTTAAAAGCAGTAGTTTTTAACTTGGGCTATAAATTACTGAATACAAGAAAATTAAACAGGACTGACAGAATATTAAATGATTTCTAATGAAAAGACAAATCCAACATGCTACCCTGCAAAGCAAAGGCAACTTTTATCCAATTAGTAGAAATTTGTATTTTTACTTGATGCCCAATGCCCAGTTCAGACTACACAGTTTAAGCCTGATCACAGCTCGCCACAATAGATGTAGGCTGTCGGAACCGACAAACGGCCTCAGGCACGACAGTCGACTGTTTTCTCGTGTTGCGTGTCATGGTAAACAACAACCAATGCTGCATCTGGGACACCTCACGATGTCCTGACACAAAGTCTAGCACGTCAGAGCTTTTCCATTGTCTACGACAAGGTGGCCCCACGCTGACCAAAAGGAGCATAGTTGACTCATATGTTCACAACATTTTTGGCATATTAGACTGAACCATAGTCACTAAATAGCACAGTGTTGCAGCTAATGTTAGCATAGTGAGTTTCACAGTCAGGGTAGCTACTTCACAAGGCCATCAGGGCTAGCTAGGTAGTTTTTGGTTTTACTACCAGCTGTTGTACTTGTACTGCTGCTTCAAGTTGTCTGTGAAGTAGAGGCAATACAGGCTGCTGCGCTTTTCATGCAACCTACAGGCAGGCTGCCCCCACCACCACCACCACCACCACTCTTTTTATGCTTTTACAAAAGCAAGCAGCCAGTACCACACACACTCTTCTCCTGGTCCCTGGTACCTCGTGAAAGATGTCAGGTTGAGATTTGTCAAGTACCAGCATGTAGTCTGTCATATCCCTCATCAAAAATGTATGACTCTGTAATCGTGCAATCTGACATAGTGACCATTGCATAACAGGAAGATTGGCAGTGTCGTTGAACAAGACACTGAACTCCCAGTTGCTCCTACTGACATCACCGATGTGTGACTGTGTCAGTGCTTCAGAGTGTGAATGGGTAAATAGTGTGAAAGAGCTTTGAGTGTCCTGCAGCACATAGAAAAGTGCTATACAAGTACAAGACCATTTACTAGTTCAGTTACATTTCAGTTCATTGGGCTGTGGTTTAAATTGATTTGGTAATTAAAAGGCCAATGCTCCGAGTTTGAAAAGAGTTCATTACAGTCTGTTTTCTAAGCTTTAACACTGTCAAACTCTGCCAAAAGCTTATTCAAATATTACATTTGTTTGTTTGACAAATGTAAACCATTAACCTAGTCACAGTCCTACAGCAGTGCAGTAAAAGGTTACGTCTGGAGGGTATTAATCACAGATAAACACCTAAATTAAAGAAAAGGAGTGATTTATTTTGACCAACTAATTGTTTTAACATGTCTCATCTTAGTATGCTGTACTTATTTTTTCTGTAGTGGTGAAGTTGCCCTTATGTGGTGGAAAGAGAGTTCACCCATACCTGAAGCTCTGGTGTTATTTATATGAGTTCACTTCCTCTGTGCAAGCAGAATGTTTTTTGTTGTTTTCAATGCTTCAGTAAATAACCGCGACAAAGTAAGCACCAGTTCAGTTTCGTTTTTGCCTGTCTTACTCTCTGTTTGTCCTTTTTGTAGTTTAATAGTCGGTTATAATTATATCAGTATCATCTAAAGGGGAACTCCACAAAGTTTTTACACATCATAATCAGTTTACTCATTGGGAACACTACTCGGCTTGTGAAAAAGTTGTATAATGTTTTCTGCGGTTCTTCTGGGAACCTGAGGCAGTAGTGATGTGATCAAGATTACCACAGAAGACAACAGTACATTACATACTTTGGAGCATGGCTTCCAGAAGTCATAGGTGAAAAGACTTGTGAGTTGTATTATGTGAGGTGTAGGATCTATGTTTTGAGAGGTCTAAGCCCAAAAATGTAGGTAGACAGAGCTGGTAGACTTGTCAGTGGTAGGTCTCAAGTCAAGGGAAGTGATGCTGCTGTATGGGTTTTACTTGTATTTCATGATCCTGTTTGAAGAGTCAGGACACCTGAGCCTTGGCTGCATCACTTCTGACCACTATTGTGTTTTTAATCTGAAGTCTTAATATAATTTTAAACAGTGGAGTTATATAAAAATGTGTGTAAAGTCAGTATTACATCACTGGAGTGCTGTTATAATAAAATGCCTATCTGTTTCCACAATTTCTCAGCATTGAATGTCACAGCTTAGTGTCATAGTATTAGAGTTTAAAGAGTACGCAGGTGTTTGCCTTTTGGCTTGGAGTTGCTTTCTTTTTGGTGCCCAGATCAGATGATGCTTAAACTTGCAGGTCAACAACCCGTGAATCAATGGGTAGTAAAATAATTGGATTAGATTTTTGACAAAACATATACATATGTACACTGCAGTAACATTTGGTGTTTTTAATGGGGGTTATATGCCTGCTTCAAAAAATTGAACATGATGTCAAAAAAGGAAGAGCTGCCAGGCTAGGCCACGTTTAACAATAGGAAATATGGCTTGCCATGCTGTCTTTGATACTGAAAAGGATGAAAATGTATATTCATACTCACACAACAGACCGCATCCTCAGAGTTATGAACCTGGTAGATCGACAAGGGACAAAGTTTATGAGAAATCATGGAAAAGAAGCCAGAGGTTGGAAAGTGTCTTGTTCCTGCACTGTCTTAGCCCATGCTGATTCTCATGATTTAAATCATTATGCTTACAAATTTGGAAGTTATTTGGAAAACAAGACTTGCAGTACTCGGGCCATGTTTTGGTCAGGCTGGATGTGTGACCTGGTGGCAGTATGAAAAAGTGTTGCTGATGTTGCAGCATTGAAGTCTTCATCTTTTCACCTTCACTGGTGCACACAGACATGAAAGCTAGCTCTGTTGTTGTTCTTGTTAGGGAAGCTGGCATCCATGGATGGAGGTTGTGCACCATATATAATGGTGAAATGCAGTATAAGACCAACTTGGACTTATTACCACCGACGACTACACAGTTCACTGAGACTCTTTTGTGATGTATTTTGACATTGCTGAGGAAAAATGTTTTTAGGAGTATTGATGTTCAAATCTGGCTGTTGCTGTGCTGGTAGTGCTTTACTCCATCTGCTACGTCTAATCCAAAAATGGGCAAAGAGGTGGAGCTCACTAGACAGCTAGTGGCTACCCACCAATGGCCAAACCCTCCCGCTTGTACATCAAATGCATAACATTTAGTCTTAATATAATTTTAAACAGGACACTTGTATAAAAATTCACCTGCTGTACAGTTATCATGGAAGGAGTAATTGGCTAAAAAAGACAAATTGTTTTTTTGTACCAGGCTATAAGCATGTTTATTTTGGGCAGTTTCAAATGGTAGTTTATGGGGATTGACTCCCTTTTGAAGCCAGCCTCAAGTGGCCTTTCAAGGATTCCCAGGTTTGAACACTTCCGCATTGACTTCATTTCTCAGTCTCGGTTGCAGCTTGGTGTGATTTCAAAGTGGTGTTCTTGGATGGGGTCTTGCCAGTGAGTGGATGTAACATGTGGTCAGACGCGGCTTCTTTTGGAGGAGCTGTTAAATAGGAGTTAGGAGGTATGCTGATCTGCATCTTGTAATCTCTGGTTTGAAAACTGATTTGTGAGCACACTTAGTTTCTTCTGTTCTCTTGTATTTAGTTACTACAGGTGGGCACTGGTGTCGTAGGTTGTAGTGGTTTAGAAGTTTTATCTGCCAAATAGATAAGTTAAAACCCAGTTTACATTGAAGATCTATGGTTGATCATACTCTCTCTCTTTTCATATTGAAGCATTATTTTATTCGGGGGTCTTCCAAGAATTCATGAGTGGTATCAATTTCACAAAACTGTATAACACATTTTCTCTATTCTGTGGTGAAATTGCATGAAATTATCTGTTTAACTCCTTGGTTTGGAGTATAATGATCATGCCATAGTAATGAGGGTGCAGCACTGCTGTTCCATTCATTAAGCAGAGCCCTGCTCATTACCACAGAATCTGTTTATGTGCAGCAACACCCAGTATGACCCAATTACTTACAAATAAGAAGGATGTATTGTGATGTAATTGCTCAAATAATGGCTACGTCAACCACAATTGTTATTTAAAATCAAATCAAATCAAATTTTATTTGTATAGCGCCAAATCACAACAAAAGTCATCTCATGACACTTTACAAAGTAAGGTCTAGACCTTACTGTTATCACTATTATTACATAGGGAAAACCCAACAAATCCCCCTTGACCAAGCACTTGGTGACAGTGGGGAGGAAAAACTCCCTTTAACGGAAGAAACCTCTTGGTGGGCGGCCTTCTGCCTCGACCGGTTGGGGTGAGTGGATAGAGGAGAGAGAAAAGAAGAAAAGCAACAAGATACAACAAATAGTGAAACACTGGTCAGGTTGATGTGGCTGGGGACTCATCAGAAACATAGAGCTCCAGAGCCAGGGCAACCTGCAGAAAGGTACAGGGAGAGAGAGAGAGAGAGGACACACTACGGGAGAGAGGAGACACAAAGTTAGTGATGTGTAATGGTGGCATATAGAAGCATAGGGAGAGACGAGAGGAGAGGGGAGGGGAGGGGAGGAGAAACTCATGACGTAGTATGTCATTGAAGAAAAACTGAAAAATGTGCCCCATAAGTGACAAAACACACATTTGAGTGGATGTTATTTCTCTTCAGTGTTTCTCTTAATACGCAGTTTGTGTTGTTGTTCCACTTGATGGCGGAACAATTTTTCAGAAGTACTCCCCTCATGGCATGTGTCAGTCGCTATCCAGTGGGAACCTACATGTATTTACATGACAAAAGTAATGATGTAATATGATCAGATGTGATTTGAAATCCCTTCATCCAATTACCACTGTTAGACTCAGCTGAGCCTAGTAGCCTATTAGCATACCCTGATTTGGTGATAATCTTTCAGCAATGGAAACACTCTGATCACACCTTTCTTTTTTGTATTTTTGGGTTTGTTACAAATGCCACTAAGGAGGTTCATCCAACAATATTGACAACACAGAAATGTGAACAAATTTTTAATATGCTAATAATTTCTCACCCATTTAGCGGGTAATTAACCTAAAGAAGGTTCTTACAGGAACTGAAAAGCACAATGTAAATGCTCATCTGTTTGTATGCCATCTGTGCATACAAACTGTTTTGGCAGCCCTGTATGTACGAAAAAGAGAAGTAGAGCAGATGTCTACACAGTGTTGTCATTCTTGCAGTACAGTACAGTAAGGTCTAAAAGATGTTTAGTGCCTTATTAAGCATACCCATGTGGGATTGCACATTTTTCCTGCCTTTTGGTTATGCTATGTGAGATATTGTGTATTTGTAAATGTACATATTCTCTTTGAACTTCTTTGTCCACTGAAGTGTGTACTGGACAGTGTGTTGCACTCATCGATCCACACAGTTATATGAAGACAGGAAAAAAAAGTCAACCTATTTTATGTAAACATGACAGGCTCAGAATGAAAGCTTACCTTGACACTTCTCTGGGAGTCAGGTGGGGCAGGCATCCAGGTTTAAGGGTTAATGATGGCAGCTTGACTTGAGATGCACTTTGGGTGTTAAAATAATGCGAGGGGCCAAGACCAACCCATTTTCTGTTTGTGTATCCAACGGAAGGATGACATGTTGATCGTCCTTTGTCACTTGTATTTGCTCTAATGCAAAGGGAAAATGTGGTGTAAAATTGAATGGGGTATTAGCTGTCAGCATGTTTTCATTAGAGGCGTAGAGAATTAAAGCAACAGTGAGAGACAGCCTGGGAGCAGCAACAGGCAGCTATGCAGAATAAACCCCATTGCCTCTTTAATGCAATGTGCTGGTGAGTCACTGTCTTTCTGCTCGCCTCCCTTTTGGAAAAGTATATGTTAGCATTAAGTTCTAATGTCAGTTAACCTTGTAAGTAGTAATACAGGATCTAAATCTAGACCACAACATGTTTAAAGTGAGATATGGCAAGGAATGTGGAAGATGATGCAAGGAGGCTGCATTTTAATTCAATTGGATCTGAACCACTGATTAAAACAGACTGGCGCATGTTGTGTACAATCATTACTTATTTTAGGAATATGTTGAAGCAGTTCATTTGGGGCTAAAGTGTAGTTCTGATATAAGCAGTATGATTAGGGGAAACGGTTACAGTTGTCACATACCTGTGGTGATTGACGTTAACAAGAAAATGTCCTTGATAGTCTAGATAAGTCTGAGATGTCAGAAAATACCTATAGTTAATGTTTGAGAGTAAGTGAAGTTCAGGTGTTTGTAAATGGGACTCATAGAGCCTAATAAGCAATGGTTTTTGACTGCCGGATGCAGACTCTTCTGCTTGTACGTTCTATCTCGTTGCTGTTTTTAAATATTTTGTATTGCAGGTGATTCTGGTTTTATTTAATGAATTGCTTTATTGTTCTAAGTTTGCACAACTTTCTAGTGAAAAGTCATAATCAGGACACCGAGGTGTTTTATAGATTTCTATTTCAAGAGATGACAAGAGCACAAAACATCTAAAATTTGGTTTGATAAATTCACAGTATTCTGAAGGATATTTTTGAAGTGGTTGTAGTCCCATCTTTCTCATTTTGCATTTACATAGCGACATCAGTTTCCTTTGCCTGGAATAATTTAAATGTTACTGCAGTCTCCAACATCAGCGGCCCATTTTGGCAGCATTTCTGCACATGAGACAGATACACAAGAAGGACAGTCTTCCTTGCTCTGTGTGGTTATCACTGAAGTGAGGACATCTTCACTGGTCCTTGCTTTCTCACACCTTCAAAGGACCGTTCAAGGGTTAAACTTGGTATTAGGGTTCAGGTTAGCATCGGGTTTAGTTTAGGTGTTAGGATAAGGCATTTAGTTGTGATTGTTATGATTAGGGTAAGATGCGAGGTAATGCATTATGTCATCGGGTGTCCTTACAAAGACAGCTGTACAAACATATTTTTGTTTTTGTTTTTTTGTCTGTTCATACGTTGACCATATTGGTCCTTTTCCTTATTAAGATGCTGCTATTCCAAGTGCAACTTCCCTTCAGCCATCAGTAGCTCCACTCTTTATTAGTCTCTTGTTCTTTGCACCCTCACCCCTGACCCCCACCCACCCCCATCTGCCTGTCAATACCAGTGTTGGAGTCACTGTTCCCTGGCCTCTAATTCTGCCCCACCTCCTCTCTGCCACACACACAGCTCCATCCAGTCTGCACAGCCACCCACACACAGTCAGTCAGCATGAATAGAACAGAAAAACTGTCATGCATCATCAAATGTGCGAAGGCTTTTTTGAATATATGAGTGTGCCTTGAATATGGAGGCGTTTGAATGGGTGGCTGCAGCATGCTCTCTGCGCACATACATGAATGGGTCTGAGGCTATCCAGGCATGCAATTTGTCTGAGACTAGTATGCACAGACACCTGCGAGTCTAAAGCTGAGTCAGCCTTGCTCGTCATTCGGCCACTGTATTTAAAAAGGCAGTTTATGGGATTAGATTTGATCCCTGTTCTCACATTCTCTGGCATGCCTGAAAGAGATGGGAATGTTTGAGGTGCCCACAGAATGTGTCATTGTCGTCCAGCACTGTCCCCTCCACAGCCAGAAATACAGACTCCTTTTGGAGATCATGTTTTTGGAGGCCCAGTGTCAAGCTCCCTGACTTTTTTGAGACAAGCTTACTTTATATAAAATGAGTGTCGAGTAATTTGTCCATCAGTTGTCAAATTATGTTCCACATCATTAAGGCTGATGTGATTATTTATTTATAATCTAACATTAAATTCCATAAAATTTAGAATGAAAATCTTCTGAATGACATGCTTTTGTCCTCTGTGTTTCCTTCCTAAGGTTTAAGTGGACAGCCTGTAGACATCGAGAAGCGGAAAACGGTGTTTGGGCAAAATTTTATACCACCCAAAAAGCCCAAGACTTTCTTACAGTTAGTGTGGGAGGCGCTACAGGATGTCACACTGATTATCCTAGAAGTGGCAGCCGTAGTTTCACTAGGCCTTTCTTTTTATCAACCTCCAGATGCCGAAAGAGAACGTAAGCAACAACACCACATTACAATTGATTCATGTTACTGTTAATGAATATTAACCTATTATTATTTAATGTTAAACTAATGTTGACTGTTTCTCATTAATCCAGTTAGTTCATTTCATGGTAAAATCAATTGAACTTCCCTCTTTTCTTTATTTATTAGTCCCTGCTTGTGTATTTCAATGTGCCTGAAGGATGGGATTGTTGATGATGTGATAGTTGTTGGTAAACTTTTTGTATTTTTCTATTAAGATTTGCCCCTGTTCCTCTGCAGACTGTGGAAGGGCTGCTGGTGGCGCGGAGGACGAAAACGAGTCAGAGGCAAGCTGGATTGAAGGCGCCGCTATTCTCCTGTCAGTTGTATGTGTGGTGCTGGTGACAGCGTTCAATGACTGGAGTAAAGAGAAGCAGTTTAGGGGCCTTCAGAACCGCATTGAGCAGGAACAGAAATTTACTGTTGTCCGCGGAGGGCAAGTTATCCAAATTCCTGTGGCTGATATTGTGGTTGGCGACATTGCACAAGTAAAATATGGTAAGAAGAGATTGCTGTCTGTGGTACGGTAAAGGTCATTTGATGGAAAAAATAAATGTCAATTCAGAATGAATATCATTATGTAATCCAATATTTGGTTTCAAATTGTAGTGCAGTTCTAAAGTTTGTACAGTATTGTTCCTCCTAATTAAAGACATATTTTGTATGTGTGGGATTCAGGTGATCTTTTGCCTGCTGATGGAGTCCTCATCCAAGGCAATGACCTGAAGATCGATGAAAGCTCGCTCACAGGGGAGTCGGACCATGTCAAGAAAACACAAGAAAAAGATCCAATGCTGTTATCAGGTAGCATAAAGCCTTGGTTTTATTTTTTTCTCTTTGCTGTTTGTTAGCAGAAGACAGCAAAGGCTGTTGTTTTGCTGGGCGTGCTATCACCTTTATTATAAAAGGATCTACAGTAGTTGTGCATCTGTGCAAAACTAAGCTGAGATGATATAAACAATACAATACACATAATTTTGATAGTCTGACTTTTGTGAGCATTCAGTCTTATTAAAATTCCAGCTCTATCAATACATTTTTTATGTGACCTTTTTTTTAAATTGGAGCTCAGTGGGAAAACTGACCCTAATTTTACTTTAAAAATTGTGTCTGGTTATTAAAAGAAAATTGTGCCTTAAGTATCATGATTTATAAATTGAACAGACCTATGATTGACTCAGACTGACCAGTAGTGTTGTAGTCAAGACCACCTAAACCGATCAAGTCAAGTCTAAGAACACAATGTATCGAGACCAAAAGCAGTGCGGTTAAAACTGAGTTTGATAGTACTGGCTTTGCTGTTTCAGTGACACTATATAGGCGTAAAGTAATTGAAAATTGCAGTATAACCAATAAGGCCCTTGATGTGTGAAGTGATTATGGTGACTTTACACTGTAAGAGTGAGGTTAACGAATATTTTGCTCAATACAAATTCCCCCAAATTGTACAAAAAAAAAGAATCAGTTTAGTATACCCAACAGGTGGCCGCTGATGGCTGAACTACATTTGATTGTAGACCTACTACACTCTAAAAGAGTTGTGCAGGTTATTTAATATATTTGTAGTAGGCTATCTCAGTGTTGCTCTTTGTAGATGGTCCATGTGCACACAGTTGCCTGCACAGAAACCAGTGTTACTTGTCCAGTGAGAGTGTATGTGTGGGTAAAGCTCGGAAGACGGCTCATTTTGGTGAAAATTGGATTGGACCTTGTTTTCAACCTTACTACGATTGGAAAGACGCGCCATGATGCTACTTCTACAGCTGCATCATTGAGAGCATCTTGAGCAGCTGCATCACTGTCTGGTATGGCAGCACTACTGCTATGGACCGCAAGCGCCTGCAGAGATTGGTAACGACTGGAGAAGATCACTAGGACTCCACTGCCCTCTCTGCAGAGCATTTACCACCGCAGGGTGCGTAGGAAAGCTGCCTCCATCCTCAAGGACCCCACCCACACCCAGCACGGACTGTTCATACCCGTGCCCTCCAGTTGGAGGCTCAGAAGTGTGAAATGCAGGACCTTTAGACTGAAAAACTCTTTTTCAGACTGCCATCAGACTCCTAAACAGCTGACTCAGGATCTACCTCATGTAATTCCATCTGTTCTGTTTACATAATCATTTTGCACATGCATAGTTGCACACTCACTGCTGAGTATTTGCACTCCATGGCTCCCACGTAGCTTTAAAGTGCCTTAGATTTGTGATTTTACTGCTTATTTAGATTTGTGTTATTGCTCATCTACTTTATATTTCATGTGTTTTATGTGGAATTCATGTGGACAGCAAAGTAAGAATTTCATTGCACAGGGAAACACGTTTCCTAACTGTGCATATGACAAACACTTTGACCTTTGACCTTGTTTTGTATGTTAACAGTGTTTTGCTGTGACCTATTGATCCAGGAACTTAGAATCTGTCATTGCAGCTTTACTATAGTCCAGCTTCCAAGGTTAATGCAACTTAATTCAGTACATTAGTATCTTTGTTAGCTAGGTTAGCAAATTCTTTAGCTGTAACATAGGCCATATTTGTTTTATCTTCTTTGTCTATTGTTATTAAGATGCTAATCCACTCAGGTTATAACTACCATCCTGACGGTACAGAAGAATATCCAATCAGCTGTTTGATTAAATTAACGATCAATCACCAAAATGTTTGTTCAGACACTGATTGTTGGTTGTGGGTGAGATTAAGCCACTTCCGTTTTTCAGCATAGAACTCTCTTCATTGCTTTTACATTCATTCTGATGTATTTCCTTTTTATGTCCATTTGGCTTAAGGCACTTGCTACACCTAAGTGTTAATATGGTAGGGAAAACCTCAGTAATGATGTTAACAAAACGGACAGTGCACAGGCTCTTTTCTCACATTTGTGGTCTTGACTGGTCCTTAAATAAAATCCTGAGTCCACTTTGTCTGAGACCGAGACAAGACTGAGTAAAAATGTGGTTGATTCGCGATGAGACCAAGAACTTCAAAAATCTCAAGTACTACAACACTACTGATCAGTAAGGCTGTTTGACAGCAATAGTTTCTCATAATTGGGGTTTGTTGCTGATTTGATAAATTAACACTCCACTGTAGTGCTCCACTGTAGATAACCTTAATATAATATGAAACTTAACATCAGCAAAGAACAGGCAAAACAACAAATTGAAGTTTTTTTAGTTTTATCTACTAATGAGCCATTACAGCTGCTGATATAAAAACAATAGAACCCAAAGAATTCTTCAAAAACTTATAAAGGTACTGATACATCTGTACATTCATTTTTGTGGTGTGCATGTACATGGTCTTAGTGAGAAACCGCTTTACAATTAAAAGTGAATTATTGCCCCTATTATGCTGTTCAGTGTAATAAATTATCAGCTGCCCAACACTCCCCAGCTTGAAAGCTGTAATAGTTTTAATACAAAGCCCCTTCAACAGTTTCATCTGTCGGATAGCTTTGACTTGATTGCTCTGCTCAGTTACCCATAGGGATTCTGGGGAAATGCTTCTGCTTCTAGTTTGGTTAATCTGGCATTCTAATGGCACACCTCCAAGGGAGAGGGTGTGTACTGTATATACACACTGCTTTGTGATTCCCCATAGCACAGACTTCTACCATAACTCTCACCAATGGAAGGAAAGCATCCTTTAACAGAGACATGAGAGCTTTTTAAGAATGGTTTCTACCCATTTCTTTTGAGTGTCTCACAGTTTTCATTCTCTTACTTTTGACTTCAGCTTTTTTTTTGTTTTGTTTTTGTTTTTCTGTATAAACCAACAAGATTTTCCTGTCTAGAGAGGGATGGAGCACCAGAGAAATGAAACTGGAACCTCTCTGATTTCCATTAATTCATCTAGGCTGACAGTTGGCTTTTGATTAAAGGCTGTTGATTAAAAGTTTGGAGGGTATATGCATCAGTGACTGTTTCTTTCTCTTGCTAGTCTGCCGTTGCTATTGTATTTATTGCCTGCATTTAAAAGTCTGCATTTATTTTCTCCTCCTTGTGTGTAGCTAAACATGCCACTTGAAAGCCTGGTTAAACCACCTTCTCAGTAAGCAAAGGAATAGCTCAGCATTTAGTAAAAAAAAAAAAAAAAAAGTCAAAGCAACAAATAAGTTGGATGTCTAGTCAGTTTTAAAGCTACAACCAAAGTATACATGAAACATGGTGTGAGTAATGTTAGAAACAAAGTGAAACATAGCATGTATCATTTAGTCAGATATTGTGCACAGCCTTTCCTTTCCTCTCTTAATATCTGACATTTTATTTTTCTCCTCTCTCCAAAGGCACCCATGTAATGGAGGGCTCAGGGAAAGTGGTGGTCACTGCTGTGGGTGTCAACTCTCAAACTGGAATTATCTTCACTTTACTCGGGGGTGGTGAGGATGATGACGAAGAAGAAGAGGAAAAGAAAAAAGAAAAGGAGGAAAAGAAGAAACAGAGAAAAAGTATGACCCACTTCTGATTCCCCGCCCCTTTTTGTTGCTATTGAGCCGTGCGTATCACAGGTGGACGTTTGCACGGACATTTCATTTTCTGCCATCATCCTCACAGTAGACCTTTTTATAAATAATGAAAGTAGAAAAGGCTGAACATGTGCAGAAAAATGTAATCGGTAGCCAAGTTGGATGCACACTAAAAGCACAGGTTGGACTGTTTACACAAAGTAGGAGGACAGCAGCAGGGCTGAGCTGTGCGTGGCTCTGCAGTTAATTATTTCCACTATCAATTAACTTGCCTAATATTTTCTTGATTGTTTAGTCCATAAAATGCAACATAATTGTCTATGTGGACTGTGGGAAACACAGTCCATGTCCTCAAATGTCTTATTTGATACCTACAGTTCAAAGATATGTCAAAAACTCAGTTAACATATTTGGATGCTTGACGGCATGGTGTATGTGATTAATAGTGTTAACTCTATATTGCCTGCCAATTATTTACCTACTACTACTGAATCCATGGTGTATTTTCCACAGACAAGAAGCAGGATGGATCTGTGGAAAATCGTAAGAAAGGTCAGTTGCTTGCTTGCCCACACACACTAACACACACACAACCATATGTAACACCCTTATATAATTGCCTTAGCTTAGCACCTGCTCTTATGTATTAGCCCTTTGCTTTATGTATGTCTCTCCCCATTTAACAGCATTGGATGTAGGTTAAAAGCCTCACTGTGTTAATAATTGGCTGCATTTGCTTCTGCAGTGAGGAGTTACATATTTTTGCATGACCCCAAGTCAGAGAATACTTAGTACAGGCTGTTCTTGCCTATTCGTTGTACTGTCTGACCCTCCCTTCTGTCTGTGTCTCCTCTTTTCTCGTCCTTCTCTGGTACATTGCGCTTTGAGCAGCAGGTGCTACTGAATCCAGTTATAGCGATTAGTGATGAGGAGATTAAAGCCATGCAACAATTCTGGGGCCAGAACATCTGCTTTCCCACCCATTTCTCTCTCTCTCTCTTTGACTCTCCCTCAGGCCCCCACAGTGTGAATTCTATTGACATCCCAATCTGAACTATTCAGAGTCCAACTGTAATACTGGCACTGGTGCAATTTCAGACTGACAACAATGACGATGGGGGCTGTTTAGTGGTAACTCGTCCAGCTAGCTAAGCTTGTAGCCTGTTGGGAGAATATGATCAGTAGTGCTTGGGTTTGTGACCACAACCCTGGTGATAGTCCCTTGTGCACAGATTCCCTCTGCATGCCAGGAATCAACAGTAATCCTTTAGACTGAGATTACACAGGCCATGTAAGCGCAGAACAAGCCACAGTCCACAGTAGCTGCAGTAGCCCAGTGTTAATGCCCCTTCTTTCACCGCTATGTACAGTCTTGGCAAAAAGTATTGGCACCCCATCATTTCTGTCAGATGACACAATACTTCTCCCAGAAAATTGTTGCAAACTCAAATCCTTTGTTGTTCTCATGTTTATTTCTTTTGTTTGGATTGGTACAGCACAAAAAAGCTAAAGGAAGGAAAAATGCCAAATCTGATCCATTCCACACAGAACTCCAAAAACGTACTGGACAAAAGTATTGACACTTTTTCAAAATCATCAGAAATGGTTGTATTTTATACATGTGAAGCTCTTTGAATTTGTAGTGAAACTCACCTGTAGCAACCAACAGGTGCTGGCAGTATAGAAATCACACTTGCAACCAGTTAAAATGGAGAAACTTTGACTCAGCCTTTGTGTCGTGTGGACCACACTGAGCATGGAGAAAAGAAAGAAGAGCAAATAATTGTCTGAGGATTTGAGAACCACACTAGTGGAAAAAGCATGGACAGTCTCAAGGCTCCAAGTCCATCTCCAAAGATCTGGTTGTTCCTGTGTCCACTGTGTACAACATTGTCAAGAAGTTTACAGCCCATGGCGCCGTAGCTGATCACCCTGGACGTGGACGAAAGAGAAAAATAGACGACAGACTGCAATGAAGGATTGTTTGAATGGTGGATAAAGAACCTCGATCAACTTCCAAATATATTCAAGCTGACCTGCAGGCACAGGGTGCAACAGTGTTTGCCGCAATCCTTCTGGGAGAACGTCCTCTGGATAGATAAGCCTAAAATAGAGATTTTGATAAAGCACATCATTCAACTGTTGTCAGAAAAAGAAATAAGGCCTTCAAAGAAAAAAAACTGTCCCTATAGTCAAATACAGTGGAGGTTTACTGGTGTTTTTTCTGGTTGTTTTGCTGCTTCAGGCTCTGGCTGTCTTGATTGTGTGTATAGCATTATGAAATCTGAAGACTACCAGTGAATTCTGGGGCTCAATGTAAGGCCCAGTGTCAGAAAGTTGGGTTTCTGTCAGAGGTCATGGGTCTTACAGCAGGACAGTGACCCAAAGCAGACTTCAAAAAGTACCACAAATGGTTTCAGACAATGCACTGGTCAGTTCTGAAGTGCCAGCTATGAGTCTAGATCTAAATCCCATAGAGCACCTGTAGAGGGATCTCAGAACAGCAGCTGGAACAAGGAACCCTTCAAATCTGAAAGACCTGGAGCAGTTGGCAAAGAGTGGTCTAGAATTCCAGTAGAGAGGTGTAAGAAACTCACTGATAGTTACAGGAAGTGATTGATTTCAGTCATGTCTAAAGGGTGTGCTACCAAATATTAAGTTGAGGATGTCAATAATTCTCTTCATTTTTGGAGTTTTGTGTGGAATGGATCAGATTTGTAGGATTTTTTTCCTCTCTGCCTTTTTGTGTTGTTCCAATGCAAAGAAATAAACATGAAAATACCAAGGAATTAGTGATTGCAACAGTTTTCTGGGAGAAGTGGTGCATTATCTGATAAAATGTTCCAATATTTTTGATTGACTGTACATATACACCCACGATATCATGCTGCTGTCAATATCATAGTATCAAGAGCCTTTAGCATTGACAGATGATACTAAAAGCATGACAGCATAAATTATGAAAGACTCATGTAATCCATGGTGATAGTATTTGCAGAAGTTAACTGAGAGATGGGAAAGATGTCTGTTGTCCTGCAACAGCAGCACCAGTGCCTATCAGAAGTAATGATTTTATCATGGTGAGTGACATGACAAAGATCAGCCCCTGCTGGCTGCCTCTCCTCCCTCCTTTTGCACTGGAGGCATTGCAAGGCTACTTGGTTAGATATGTGTATGAAATTCTAGTCACTTCTGGTGTTGTGGAAGGGGGGGTCCTGACTGATGTCGAGGAAAAGGTGAAAGAGATTTATGGGAATTTAAATGGCAACAACTGCTGTGGCTGCTGTTGAAGGAGGAGACGATTCCTCAAACAGATCCCAGTCCTACTAGCTAGTTAACCTGTTCTTTAAATCTCTAGGTGGGAGGATTGTAATTACACTTCCAAATCTTTCAGCAAATTACTGTGCAGTCAGATCACAGCACACATAATTATAGTGACATTTCCCAAGTTCTGTGGATGAAAGGGGAGCAGTAAAGCATGCTAAAATTTTGAGTGATGTGGCATATTTTTTTTTGAAAATAATCAAACTTCAGTACTTGTTCTTAACACAACCATAAAAGGAAATCTAAAAATGTTAATTATCTGAACATCAAGGATAAAAATACTTACATAAAATACCGTTTGTTATTTAGCTACAGTTTAATCATTCACTGGTGCATGGCTGAGATTTGGGGATGCTGATTTGTTACAACTGCTAGTTGCTAGTCTGGTTTGATCAGAAAATCATTTTCTTTTCAGACACGTGCTGTTCCCATAAATCCTGGATGCTGTTTCAATATTAAGGCCTCATCCACAATGTTGTATAAATATCAGATTATGTGAATTCAATTAGTGCGTATCACTTGATATCAGTCAAATGTAATGGCCAGTACATTAGTGCAGCCATCAGTGCATTTAATTTCACTGCAATTTCCCCTTCTCTCTGCTGCAGCTAAAGCTCAGGATGGTGCTGCAATGGAAATGCAGCCTCTGAACAGTGATGAGGGAGCTGATGCAGAAGAGAAGAAAAAAGCCAACTTGCCAAAGAAAGAGAAGTCTGTTCTTCAGGGCAAACTGACCAAACTAGCTGTACAGATTGGCAAAGCAGGTGAGTGAATGCTGTAGAGTATACTTTGTGCCAAATTTATTTGCCTGTATTCTTTTATTCCCTCATTTTATTGACTATATCTCCTACTTTCTATAATGTTTCCTATTCAGAATTTCTTCCATTAGCAATAGCATGCTGGTAAATGATGTCCATGTGATTGATTAATCATCCTCTTTCATCTTTTTCTCCCTGGTTCTTCCAGGACTGGTCATGTCAGCCATCACTGTTATTATCCTGGTGGTGCTGTTTGTAGTAGACACCTTCTGGATCCAGAATCTGCCCTGGGTCCAGGACTGCACACCTATTTACATTCAGTTATTTGTGAAATTCTTCATCATTGGTGTCACTGTTCTGGTGGTAGCTGTTCCCGAAGGCCTGCCACTTGCTGTAACAATCTCTCTGGCATACTCCGTTAAGGTAAAGTCTCCTAGCCAAGTGCCCTCAGTGCTTCCCATGCATTGACTTGTTTGTGGCGGGCCTCCACAATATCAACATTGATATTAATTTAAAATAGGTTTAGTCTTATTCCAGTGTTATTCTTATTCCATGTATTCTCTCAGCCTGTCTGTGCCCTGCTCAGTTTCTTTATCATACAGGCACAAACACATGATGCGCAACCATGATGATGGACCATCTGTGAATAGCTCCTCCTCTTTGTTTTTTTTTTTTTTTAACATAATGCTGTTCGTTGCAGAGATCCAACTTTTGGAATATGTTATTAGCAAGCTAGTTAGGCTGGCTAAGCTAATGCTAGAATACAGCTGTTGCCGAGGTCGACACACTGCATATAGGATGGATATACTGTATATGGACTGCTTTACAAGTGGATAAACTTGATGCTAATTCTTTAACTCTGATGCTGAATTTTTGCCCCCTCAGTCCATGGGAATATTGAAAAACACACATGGGAAAGCTGATCAGTGTGATTAGTGATCAAGTTAATTTGTTTCAAATATATACTGGCTTCAACCAGTGCTGGTGAAGCAGCAAGAGAGGGTCAGAAAAGAGAATTGTAGGTGAGCAAGTGGGAGAGCCAACTAGTGCAGGAAGGACAGGTCATATGAACAGCACAGAAAAGCGTGAGCTACCACAGAATCTAATTCTGTGGGAAACACTGGCCCTGTTGTCCTCACTGCTGACCAGCTTACACTGTAGCTCATCTGTTAAGACTTTACTAACTTGTACCCTGAAGTCAAGCAACGATCCCCTCTGCTGAGGTTGATAGCCAACAAAGAGCTTTATCTAATCAAGAAATTGTTAATTTAAATCTTCTTTTTTTTTTTTTACCACATTTCATTTTCCTCCAAGATTGTCCAGCACAGAAAGTGAACACTTAAGCTTCTGTCTGCTCATATTGTTTTATTGCATTTGTTTTTAATCGTTTGAATATTGTTTGGCTTCTTACAGAAAATGATGAAAGACAACAATCTAGTGCGTCACTTGGATGCCTGTGAGACTATGGGGAATGCTACTGCCATCTGCTCTGACAAGACTGGTACTCTGACCATGAACCGCATGACTGTGGTGCAGGCCTACATTGCTGAAAAGCACTATAAGAAAGTCCCTGAACCTGAGAACATCCCCTCATCTACTTTAGACATCCTGATTCTGGGCATTGCAGTCAACTGCGCCTACACCACCAAGATCATGGTAGGCATGGGAAAAGCAGTGTGGCTCTAATACTTTGCATGGCCCTGAATATTTTTTGTTGTGCTTTTGGCTTTAGGAACTTACCATTTTCTCAATCTTTCCTCAGCCTCCAGAGAAAGAAGGAGGCCTGCCACGGCAGGTGGGTAACAAGACCGAATGTGCCTTGCTCGGATTTTCCAATGACCTGAAGCGTGACTACCAGATGATCCGCAGCGAGATCCCTGAAGAGAAACTATACAAAGTCTACACCTTCAACTCAGTCCGCAAGTCAATGAGCACTGTGTTGAAGATGGCTGATGGAAGCTACCGTATGTTCAGCAAAGGGGCCTCAGAAATCCTCTTAAAAAAGTAAGAAAACTATTTCCGAATTTCTGCATATGTTTCTTCTATATTTTGGCTTATATGGGTGGGTTATCTTTTCTTGATATGTGTTTCCCTTTAATGCTACAGAGATGTTTACTAATATATAAATGTGATGTTTTATTTGCATAAATTACTCGGTGGAAGGTTTTTTCGTAGGGTTGTTCGACTTGTTCCAGCTGGCCAAATTTTGCAGTAAATTATATGTAATGGCTTAAGCAGCTAAGAAGTTCAAGTTCATCCCACTCAAGCCCCTTACTTTGCGACTTAAAAACGGGTGCTGAGAAAATGAGCCGGTAACAACTCTGTAAGCCTCTTAACCTAGACTTCTTTTTAACCCACAGAGGGCTTAGTGTGACTTCTTACTATGGCAGCTCACCATTCACCATGCTTCTTCATCTCTTCTTCTCTTACCCTTTTATGTAATATAAATTATATTCTTTTTTTTAAATTCTGGTCCTGTCTTCTTCATCCACATTTCTGTCCTTCATCTCTCTTAATGCCTTTCCTCAGCAGGAGATATTATGTACTCTTCTACACTACTTCCTGTTCATTTCTTTAACTCTGTTCTCTACCCCAACACATTAATATAATAGATCACCTTCTCCCTCCCAGGTGCTATAAAATCCTGACAGCAAATGGTGAGCCCAAGGTGTTTCGCCCACGGGACAGAGATGACATGGTTAAGAAAGTGATTGAGCCTATGGCCTCAGAGGGCCTGAGGACCATCTGCCTTGGATACAGAGACTTCCCTGCTTCTGACGGTGAGCCTGACTGGGACAATGAAAACGATATCCTCAGTGGACTGACGTGCATCTGCGTGGTGGGAATTGAAGACCCTGTGAGGCCTGAGGTTAGTGGCTACACATCAAGGACAAATAACATGAGCATGGGGTTAGGTCATAATTATCTTAGTTGAAACAGTGAGAATTTGATTTAATAAAAAAACTGAGTTGTGTGTCTTGTAGAGTTGTTTTTGGCGGCCTGTTTTAATTTTAGTTTTAGTCTAGTCTTTGTGTGAAGCTGTCATTTTAGTTTTTATTAGTTTTAGTCACATTCATACCTTTTTAGTCTAGTTCCATTTCAAACAAGGTTATCTTATTATATTATTGTTACCTTATAGACTCAAGAGTACATCCAATACACATTTTGTGTGATTTTGTGGCCACATTTCTCCACATCTTTTCCCACAATACATTGTTTTCTTTTCCACTTCTGTGTAATTAAAGTTTTTCCAAATGTCGTTTCTTCTTTTTCTCCCAATGACGAACCCCGGCTGGCCGGCCATCGGTCCCCTTCTCTGTGTCAGACTTAACTTTGTTGTCATCTTCTAAATAATGCCGCGAGTGGGGCTTAAGCAGCGCGGCTTGATGCGGCCCCTGAAGCGAGACACAGGAAACAGAAATACTGCAAAATAATAATAAGAACGCGACTGAACGAGACAAAATAACATTTCGTTTTGGTCAATGAAAATAAAGAGACATTTTGGCATAGTTTTTATTTTGTGAACCACATTTAGTCTCATTTTTTTCGTCAACAATATTGCATTATACATTTAATTATAGTCATCATCACACGACCAGCATTTTTGTTGCGTCTTGTCTCGTTTTCGTCACGCGATAAAGGCTCGTTGAGGACGATATTTAGTCATAATTTTCATTGACAAAAGCAACTATAGTGTCTTGCATTATAATCAAGGGAATCACTTGCTTGTAGTTACACTGAAAGAGTAATTGTCACTGTTGAAAGTGCCATTAAAAAAACTGTCTTCAGAGGAGGAATCTTTATATCCACCTGATGCAGTGGTGATGGGACAGACTGCTTAAAGATGGAGTAATTAACTAAGGGTCGGACTCCCCATCAAAAGCAATAGGTCATTTGACTTTCAGAGGGCAAAAGTGTAGTGAAGGGGAGGCTTGATTATATTGTAGTTTAAGATCAACCCAAACCTAAACTTACAACACTGGACAGGTATGGAGTTAGGAGGAAACAAAGCATACCGGCAATGTCATTGGAAAGCTAGCTCCATTGGGCTGTTGTGCACGTTTCCCTTCTTAATAAAGCAAGGACGTTTTATGAGAGGAGATTTTGAAGACATTCCACAATTTGGGAGCATCCACAGCGCAAAAGCCCTGTCACCTCATTGTTTACACCTTGATCACAGGACATTCAGAAGAAATTTGTTGGAGGACCTGAGATCTCTACAGTGTGTACGGGCAACCAAACGTTGAGCCAAACAGGATGGAGCTTTACCACTGAGGACATTAAAAATGAAGTGAGAAAATTGAGTGAGAGAATTGGGTCATAAGCTTCACCAACCACTTATTTTCTTTGTCTTTCTGCTGCTCTGTGCTGGGCGTAGCGTACTCTCAGCTTGTTTGCTGGAAACAACTGCCTGTGGTTTAGAGGGGACTTGCCAAGAGCAGTGAGACTCCACCATACAGCCTGTATATAAATCTAAACCTCAGCAAAACATCAGCACTCAGATACAAAGCAGCAAAGAGCTGCAGAGTTTGAGGTTACTGTCATTTATTCATTCAGTGAATCATTCAGCATTTAAATACAAAAGTAGAGCTTAGCTGGCCTTTAATTTTGAAATCCCCAATGATCTGCAAAAATAATGTGCATTTCCTCCTCCATTGTTTTCCCCCTTTCTTTCAGGTCCCAGATGCCATCAGGAAATGCCAGCGTGCAGGCATCATAGTGCGGATGGTGACTGGGGACAACATAAACACAGGTCGAGCCATTGCCGCAAAATGTGGCATCTTACAACCTGGAGATGACTTCCTCTGCCTTGAGGGCAAAGAGTTCAACCGAAGGATACGCAACGAAAAAGGAGAGGTGGGCTTCAGCAGAATCCTGCACACCAGAGACTGTTGCACATGTGTTCTTGGGATTCTATTAGGTTTTGTCTCATGTTTCTAGATTGAACAAGAACGCATTGACAAGATTTGGCCCAAACTACGAGTATTGGCTCGCTCCTCCCCCACTGACAAACACACCCTTGTGAAAGGTAGTCTTTTTCTGTTACGGGTAAAATGTATGTATGTTGTTGTCACTAGTTTGTTTGCCATTTTATGCTTTAGGAGTGTAATTTTAATATTCATGTTTTACTATTGTAGGCATCATCGACAGCACAGTGGCAGAACAGAGACAAGTAGTAGCAGTCACAGGAGATGGTACAAATGATGGTCCTGCCTTGAAGAAAGCTGATGTTGGCTTTGCCATGGTGAGTTTTCACCATTTACTACATGTCATTAGACTAGAGATCTAGTCAAAGTGATACAACTGGTCACTTTAAACCTGCGAAGCTACAAAACATTTTTTGCAAACTGATCCAACAAGGTGCATTAAGATTCTCGATTCTGCTATTGTCTCCAGGGTCTTGCTGGTACAGATGTTGCCAAGGAGGCATCTGACATCATTCTGACTGATGACAACTTTTCCAGCATTGTCAAAGCCGTCATGTGGGGTCGCAACGTCTATGACAGCATCTCCAAGTTTCTCCAGTTTCAGCTAACTGTTAATGTGGTGGCTGTCATCGTAGCATTTACAGGAGCCTGCATCACACAGGTTGGCACCAGCAGAGTGTGGTTTTGTGTGGGTAAAAAAGCAATAGTCTGAAATGCCTAAACGTTTCTCACAAGTTTTATATCCTTGTGAAGATCCAGCTTTTTAAACTATGAGGAAACACTGGGTCTGATATTATTTTTGAACATTTAAGAACGTGCTGTGCACTTTCAGACTGGCTTTGTCTTATTTGGTTTGGTTTGGCCAGTTCATTGAATTTCCTTTTATACCTGCACTTGTGAAATTCCTCAGTTTTAATGTCTTTTGTAGTTGGCATGAGCTGTCTGGAGCCTGTTCCAGTGATTTTAAATGTAATGTTGTGTATCTCCAACAAAATATCAGTGACTTCTTAAATATTCAGTAGATTTATTCAGTCTGAAATTGTCTTGAGTTCTTTAAAAATCATGTCCTGTAACAAGTTTGTAAATGTGCCCAGAAACCAAATGGCTGTCATTTGTGATACTATAGGAACATTTTAGACCCTTTCAAGTTTTCCACATTTTATGTTTCAGACTCTTCTTAAAATGGTTCAGTTATGTTTTTCCGTCATCAATTTACACATAATACTGCACAATAATAAAGTGAAAACAGGTTTTTGGAGTGTTCAAGTAAATTTATTAAAAATAAAAGACTGAAATATTCCATTTACATAAGTATTCAGACCCTTCACTTAGTACTTGGTTAAAGCACCTTTGGCAGCAATGGCAGCCTCAAGTCGTCTTGAGAATGAAGCTGCAAGCTTGGCACCTTTCTTTTGGAAATTTCTTTTATTCTTCTTGGCAGAATTGTTCAAGGTCAGCCAGATTAGATGGGAGCATTGATGCGCACAGCCCTTTTCAGGTCTCTCCAGAGATGCTCTATGGTGTTCAGGTCCAGATTCTGGCTGGGCCAATCCAGTACTACTTTTCCCTGAAGCCACCCCTGTGTTTTCTTGCCGTTATGCTTTGGGTCATTGTCTTGTTGAAATGTAAACCTTCACCAGAGGTTTGGATCCTGAGCACCCTGGAGAAGGTTTTCATTCAGAATTGCTCTACGTTTTTCTGCATCCCTCCTTCCCATTGTGCCAACTATAACACAGCTTTCGGGAGAGCTCACTTTTTTGTAGACAGACTAAATGAACAGATGCAACATTTATAAAGCACATGATTTAGCTTTTCCATCCATCCATCCATCCATTTTCCTCCGCTTATCCGGAACCGGGTCGCAGGGGCAGCAGTCTAAGCAAAGATGCCCAGACTTCCCTCTCTCCAGACACTTCCTCCAGCTCCTCCGGGGGAATGCTGAGGCGTTACCAGGCCAGTTGAGAGACATAGTCCCTCCAGCATGTCCTAGGTCTTTCCCGGGGCCTCCTCCCGGTGTGACATGCCCGGAACACCTCCCCAGGAAGGTGCCCAGGAGGCATCCGAAACAGATGCCCGAGCCACCTCAGCTGGCTCCTCTCGATGTGGAGGAGCAGCGG